AAGTGTATATAAATCATTTCAACTTAGTTTTTATTATAAAAGTATTACAGAGAATAATTAGTTTTTAATCTGTCGGTTCGAATCAAAGGCAAGTTGAAATCTATTCATGCCATTCGTGTGTAGCAAGAGCTCCTGTCCACAAGACTTGGGCAGGGCATCATTGTGGATGAAAGGGAGAAATGAGAGAAAACCAAAAGTAATATAATTATGAGCCATTAAAAGACTGATATGCACAACAGTTTAAGGAATGGGCATATAATGGCAATTAAACAAAACCAGAATCCATTATTAGCACAGTAAGGAAACCAAGGATACTAACTAGGAACTGGAAAAATCTCACCTAAAGTCATGGAGATTATTTTAGCTTCACCATACATTTGAGGTATGACAGGGCAGGTCCTATTTGTTGTCTCATTATTAAACAAGACAATGATAATGGAATATTAAATTCCCAGTAGCCTGGAGCATCCAAAATTTTACTTACTGAACCACAGCTGCAAACATAAAATCTAAGAACAGCTAGCTAAATGCAGGGCCATGCCCCTCCTGTGGCTACAGTCAGTTTTGCATGAAGGTGATTATAGAAAGGGCTTTATAGAAAGAAAAGGACTTAACCATAATTAACAAAGAAAGCCATCTCTCTTGGATTAATGATGGCATCTTCACCCCATCATTTAAAAACCTCCTTCATTCACATGCACTGCACGTCATGTGTTGAAATAGAAACGTTCTGAATTAAGTGACTCACCAGTTGTCGTGGCCTTGAGATAAACCTTACAGCTGTGACAGCCAGTAGCCATGTGGCTATTCCCTTAGAAATATGGCTAGCCCTACATTTGCAGCGATAATATTTTGGATACATATTCTATTAAATAAACTATACTATTAAAATTAATTTCACTTGTTTCTCTTTATATTTTTTAACATGATTACTACAACATTTTAAATGACGTGGTTTTCTTTCTACCAGACAGTCCTGCTTTAGAGGTTTGGTGATCATTTAATACCGCAACAACAATAAAAACGCCTAGTATCTCCCAAGCACTTCCTGTGATGCCAGGTCCTAGTCTAAGCATTTTATACATATTCCATCATTTAATCTTTACTGTGACTCCATGAGGTGGGGATTATTATCATCATGTTACAGATGAGAAAACCGAGGCACCAAATAGTAGAGTACTTGAGTAATTTGGCCGAAGAACAAAGTCATACATGGAACCCAGGCAGTTCGCCTCCAAAGCACACAGTCTCAACTTCCAAGAGCTGCTCTACTCTTTCTGACAGATACCTTTGGTTAAAAAAGGTCATGCAATTAAAACTTTTCTGTCTACTCCAGTTTACTGTTAGGAAAAAAAAAAAAAATCACACATCTAAAGGTAAACAAAGTAGACACAGTCACACTTATTTATTGCCTTTTTGATAGCACCCCCTACAAGCACTTAAGTAAAATTCATGCTGGGGAAAATCATAGGCAATGCCTTATTTTAACCAACAAGATGCAAATAGTCCTGGAAAGGAAGGGTTGGGTTAGTTGCCTATGGGCAAAGAACCATCATCTGAGAAGCACTATTCTAGAAGAAAACAAATCCTAGTTAACTGTACCGAAAGCTAATCATCTTCTACGACTGATCATGGACACGTTGCCTGCAGCCATCTCCATGTGTTGTCTGGCTTCTCTGACATCCCACACAAGGGCCGAGAGTGCTGCCATTTTGTTGGGGTGACCCATTTTGTTTGGGTGGCATGATTTCAGCCTGATATTTTCAGAAGATGTTTAGAGGAGCCACGTAAGCCATGCTGACTATGTGGGGAATCCCGAGTCAATGTAAGGTTCGGTTAGCAATGCTGTATTTAAATCTAGATTATCACACAAGCCAGAGGTACAAGTGCGCTGGCTGGCAAGGCTGATTTGAATGCCCAACTACAATCACAAAAGGGAACAAAAGAGGAAAGATTCGTGTTTGCCTGCATGTGCTCTGAAAGGCTTCAAAGAAATCCACATCATACAAGTCAACACTTTGTGCTAACCATTGTATTTTATGGTGAATATCCTCAAATTTTACTCGAGTGCAGGCACCCATGCTGGATGAGAGGGAAGAAAAGAGAGAATACAGAGACTGTAGAGAAGTAGAAGAACGAGGGACTAGGAATGTTTTCTTTCTGTCAGAGGCAGACATGGAATTCCTGACTACTTGGCTTTTCCGAATTGGCTGTTCGCCTTTCTGAAATGAACATTCTGTGCTAACTTCAGAAAGAATGTTGGCAGGGTCAGGGTGGGAAGGTCTGAAGCGATAATACTTGGATGGTGAATGCTTTCTTTTCCAGGGGCTGACACAGCTGTGACCTCCACAAAGCCAGCCAGCAAGGATCCAGTTTGGCCACATGAATATGAGCTGTTTTCCTCCCTTGGGAGAGAGAGAGGGACACATGAAGCAGTGTCTGATAAAAGTAAAGTATTATCTTAAGGTGGTTTGTAGCAAAGAACCTGGAAAGCAAATATGATTAATTTCTTTTCTGTTTCCCTGAAACACAATACCTAGAGAGAAGTTATATATTGGAAGGCAAACACAGATCTTACATTATTTCTTCTCTTTGAGCGTATGGGTGGCAGAGAGTGGAATAGTGAGCAGATATTTAAAAAGCACTTTCTCAGAGCCCCAGTTACAAAAATGATCAAAATGCTTCTAAAAGACAAACACTTGGCAAAACATCCAAGCCCCAAACTCTGTCTTTTGTTTCAAATCTGGAGCTGTAATGAAACCCAGCATATGTTAATAGTCTTATTTCTCTCCAGCTAATCAGCGACTCTCTGCCTCTCCTTACATGGAATTCTCCATGAAAAGTAGCCAAATCAGTATTTCTTAACTTTATTATCTCAAACCTTTCTCTCTCTTTTTTTTTTTCTGAGACAGAGTCTCACTCTGTCATCCACACTGGAGCGCAGTGGTGCGATCACAGTTCACTGCAGCCTTGACCTTCTAGACTCAAGTGATCCTCCCACCTCAGCCTCCCAAGCAGCTGGGATCACCAGACATGTGCCACCATGCCTGGATAATTTTTAATTTTTTTTTTTTGGTAGAGATGGGGGTCTTGCCATGTTGCCCAGGCTGGTCTCGAACTGCTGGGCTCAAGGGTTCTTCCTGCTTCACCCTCCCAAAGTGCTGAGATTAGAGGCACGAGCCACTGAGCCCAGTTGCAAACCTTTCAATCTTTCAAGACAAAAGTATTTATTAATTGACAAAAAAGGAGCTTGAAAAAAAAGTCCCTTCCGCCAACCCTGCATATATAAATATTTGGGCTGTAACTTTATTATTTTTTTTTTAATGAAACAATGTTGGCATCACCATTAGGAAGAAAACTCATTTCTTATTTCATTATCTCCTTAAGGCTGGCAGATCCTGTTCTGAAACCAAATCACCAGTCCTTTCTTTATTGTCAGGGTCAGATTAAAAGGAAAAAATATCTGAAAGTAAAATGATTGCCAAAACAGCAGTGAGGCCAAATAAATTTGTTCAGCCTGGCCTTACACGACCTAACTTGGTTAGGGGAGTAGTGTCTCTACTGCCCTTACCTTCTTCCAGGGAACCTGCCCCATTCACCCACTAAGAGGTAACACTGGATGTTTCAGGATGCTACCTGGCACCTCTGGTGGCTCATTCAAAGATGGACATGTGACCTAAGGCCAGCCAAGTAGTTGGTTGGTCAATGTCTATTCAGACCCACCTACTGGAATACTTGACCTAAGACCCAGAAGGTCAACTGGTACTAGAACAATCAGACTGGTGGAGGTGGTCATTTCTATGAAAGACGTCCTAAGTACCTTTCAATTTTGGACAGTCCTGGTTAATGGCTCAAATCCACTTCCTTACAAATTCTATCCATTTTTCCAGGCTCTATTTTCGGGAATAATGCAGAAGAAATTTGACACTTTCGTTAATTCAATCCATGCTGAATTTTGCACAACTAACATGTCCCTTCTAAGAATCATCCTCAACCATACATTCAGACCTCATGAGGTGATTTAAAGACCTCTCATTCCCCGGATGGTTCCCCTACCTCTGACATTGCCTCAATCCTATCTCCAATTCATCAGTTCCTACCCACATTTACTGCTCAGCCTAAATCATGCCTTCCCATGAAATGTGCCCAGGCCACACTGAGAAGGAAGCAATACAGTATAGTGATCAGAAACATGGGTTTTGGAATCAGGCAAACCCAGGCTTAGTTTTTGGTTTCATCATTCATTAACCATGAACTTTTGGGCATGTTACCCAATCTCTCCATGCCAATATGTTCTATGTGAATACCCATCTCTCTATATTTGTGTTGCCACTGATTAAGTTGACATGTGTAAAGTGCTGAGTAAAGCGCATAGCACACAGAAAGAACTCAATCAATGGTATGTTTTATTTCATTTCTCCATGTCCACAAATCTCTTTCTTTTCTGAACTGTGGGTAGGCTTAGTGGTCAGAGCATGATCTTTGGAATCAGACACCATGGCACGGTTACCAGTTGTGTGATTGTGGGCAAGTAACCTTTTGTGTGGCTTGATCTCCTCTATAAAATGGGGTGTGCACAGCACATTCCTCGTTAAGACTGCGGAATGGGGGTACCAATAGCATCTACCTCATGAGTGTGTTGTTCATGAAGATGAAATGGGTCAACATTTATAAAGAGCTTAGAAGAGTTTCTGGCACAAAAGGTCATCATCATCAAGGATAGCTATTATTACCTCCTCAAGATTGAATACTTAAACAATACTCAGATTTCCTGCCTGCAATTCTCTTTAGTGAGTTAATTTCATTTGTGACTAAGAAACCACGTTCCATAGCTTGCAGTTCTTGGGTTCAGAAACATGTTTGTGGGAAAGACTGCAGGAATCAATGACGTGCACAAGATCAAGAACAAATTTCTTACTGGTATACTCTAGCCATGCTGGACTGTTAAGTCAATACAAAACAAGTAAACACAGAAGCCCCACTTGAGGCAGAATATCTACCTGATGGTAAGAGATGGGGACGGGTCTCCGGAAGACTATCCACTCCACTATTTCGCTACACGGTGGTGTGGTCAAGGAACCTGTGTACCGATAATAGCTGCCCAGGGATGCAGGCAGGAGGTCCCGGAGGACAAAAGGATCCAGAAAGGTCTCCTTCTCTGTTAGGGGAAAAGGGAAAAGAAAAGCACAATGGTAAGTCATGCCATTCCGCGCCGCAGACAGTCAACACCCTCGGCATGCTGGTGCCACATCACAAGCCTTATGTTTGTTTATATCCTGAGAAGCACTAGCATTTGGTGGTGGGAGAGCCTCAGTAAACAAAGCAGCATTTCCCAGGGTGTGTTCTGAGGACACCAGCACCACAGTATATTTCAGTAAAAAACAGGTTCCATGATGAACACGGTTGGGCCACATTAAAGTCCCTCCCCCTTCCCCAGGAAATAGACAAAACACTCTAGCATACTAAAATCTCTGAGAAGTCTTGCAGAAAAGAAATGGGCTTGACTTTGTTTAACCCACCCCTTCCCAATCTTGTTTCATCATAGAATTATCTATGAACAGATATCCAATTATCTATGAACAGATAGATAATCAGTGCAACAAACTTTGGGACACATAGAGAGACTCATTATGAAAAGAAAACTGTAAGCCACCAGTCATGTGCAATTCCAAAGCTGGCTACATTTCATTATGGTTTCACCCAAGTCGTCTCCAAATCAAAGTGAAGTCCAACCAAGGCACAACTAGAAACTTAAAAAGAATGGCCCCAGGAACCAGCATTCTTTTTACAAACATGGAGGTGTCTTCCCTTAAACAGAAGAAATGACATTTAAGTTCAGATCCAACAATGAAAATATGATTACTCTATGAGGAAAGCAAGGCATGTAATGGGTTAGTGTCTGCTCAAGGTCACACAGCTCCTAAGAAGCAAGGCCAGGATGTGAATCCAGATGTCTTGACACCAGAGACACCACACACCTCTGACTTAGCGGAAGAAGGCACTGAGGTTAGCTATGTGAAAATGCAAGGGTGGGGGCAAACAAGGTGAAGAAAACCATTGTAAGCAGTAGAAACAGCATGAGCAAAGGCTCCGGGACAGGAAGGAACAGTGTCGCAGAGAAGATGAGGAAAATGTCTTGTAATTCTCCCAAGCACACCCAGGAAACTATCTAGCTTCTTTCATGAGTCAGAGAAGGTTCTAGTCTCTACATACATCTCCAGACATCTAGTCTTGAATTTACATCTGGGATTCTCTCCTCTTCCCTGTTAGAGATGCAGTAAGACTACTGGAGTTCTGCTCATGAGGTCCCTTAGCTCCTTCATGGCTTCCACCATGGGCCCTGGGAACAGGGTTCCAGGTGACCTCATAGACACACCTGTGCCTACAGGAATATTATTCCCAAGCCTCATACCTCCCCTCCTTCCTTCCTCTTCTCATTTTTATGCACAACAACTAGTGCAGGCATTTGGGCAACTGTGCATCCCCAGACGCGAGAAGTCTGTGTAACTAGGGCATAATGCAAAAACCCAACAGAAATCAACTATATTATAATTAAAATTGCAATTTCCTTTTGGAAAAGATTAGTTGAAGAAGACTTAACATTGATTTAGCTTTGCCTATATGCCAGGCACTATTCTGAGTATTTACATGTTGCAAGCACTTAAACAGCACTTACTATATGCAACAGGCCCTGTTCTAACAGCTTTATAAGGATACATTTATTTAATGCTTAAAATAACTCCAAGAAGTTAGTCCTATTATCATCCCCAGTTTGCAGAGGCGGGATGCAGAAACAGGTAGCTGGGTTTAGAATCCAGGATTTTATTACTCACATCACTATGTTCTCTTAGTTCACAACTCTATGAAGTATGTGCTTTCTAATACTTGTTTTACAGGTGTGGAAATCAAGGCACAGAGAGGTTAAATAACCAACCCCAAGCACTAGTGAACAGCGAAGTAACAGCAGTTATTCGTGAGGCTCAGAAACCTTGGCTGATTCTCAGAGAGGTGTTCAATTCGTCTTTTTCTAAAAGAAAAATTTAGTATTAACCAATAAATGCGAAACTCTTCAAATCATAGGGTTCTATAATCAAAATTACAAAAACAATTTCTGTTGTACAAAAGGCTAGAAATAACGGAATTGCCCCTCCGCCCACTGGCAAGTCTGGGCTTTAATTTAAACCTGGTTACCAGCAGCCTAATGACAGGGGAAATCTCTGCAAGCATGCTTGGCGAGGACTGGTTTGGCCAGGAGGAGAAAATATTTTGGCCTTTGCTTGCTGCCTCTGAGCTTCCTGGGCTGTGTAAACAGTCAACACAAAGCCCCAAGTGATAGAAGGGTGGGTAGGGCTTGGCACCACCAACTGCAAAACTGCCACCTTCATGTCTCCCTCATGTTGTAGGTGAACCTGGGGTCACACCGCTGCACACCAACCTGCCTTAGGATCAAGGAATCCAGGCCGAATGGCTACAGAATCAGAAGAGCTTTCCCCTCGGGGCCCAATCCAACATTAGGGTTGCAGTTAAGCATGCGGAATGCTGACAGGAAGTGACAAGACAACCCCGGCAAATCCCTGGCAGTCAAGTCCCCATCTAAACACACTCTAGGGAGAGGCCACGGCTTTAAAGAGCATCAAAAGTTAAAGCAAAAGCACCTGCCACACCAACAGGAGGAGATTAGATTTCAAAGGGGGAACACTGGACAGGGCCGGGCTCTTGTGTAAGTTCTCCGATGGGCTGATGGATTGAGCAGGCATGATGGAAAGTGCGTGTGACCCCTGCTGCAAACTCCAAAGGGCCTCTCTGTTCTTGACCAACAACAGGGCTTCAGAGGCAAGTTCTGGCTTTCGTTGATCAGCACGTGCAGTCAGATCGGTGGCGAGGTGGGTAGACTTGGTACAAGGGACAGGGGAGGAGGGCCTGGCTTCACTGCTTATTCATTCCACCACTGTTGCTGCCCTTGAATCTTAGGACTGTGTGATCTGGAAGGGACTTGGACAGTTCAGCAGCTTAGTTCAGTGGCTTTGGAGGCCAAAGAATGGTCTCTTCAAACAAAATCTTGCCCAAGAGCCCAGCAACTCAAATAGTTAAGTCAGCTCTGGTGGCTGAAGCTGAGTAGGGGACCCAGGGACACTTGGAAAACCATCTATTTAGTCCATTTCTTTGACTTTAGGGCTGGCTAAATAGAAGACCAGGGTGAAGTAACAGACACAAGGTCAAAAACGTGAAGAATACAGAGACTCACATGGGATTCTTTATTCAGGGAATCTGAAACAGTATGCCTGGAGAGCAGGAAACATCACTCAGTGCTGAAAACTGAGATCTAACCACTGCCTGCATCAGCACCCCCAGCACTTGTGCATTTCTTCAAGGGTGGCTGAGGAGAGCAGATTTTCAGCCTGCCCAGGTTCAAATCCCAACTCCGCTGTCAGCTGTGTGAGCTTAGGCAAGTTATGAAACCTTCTTAGGCTATAGTAGTGAAGATTATAAATAAGTCAATACAAGAAAGGGGTTCAGAAAGAGCTCGAAACACAGTAAACATTGCATACGTGATACATATTATTCTTACTCTAATTGTTACTACTTTTACTATTATTATTCCTCTAAGCTACCAATGTTTTGTCATTTGCTTTCTTTAATGCTTTGTGCATATCTATTTTTTTTTTAAACTGGATTACTGCTTGTGCCCTTAAAGGCATACCATGTTAGATACATTGTCCATCAGCATGAGCAGTCTAGCATGGGCTTTGAATTAACTGATATTTGATGGCTGTGTGACCTTAGGCGAAGGCCTTAACCTCTCTGAGCTACTTCCATCATCTGTAAAATGGGAATAATGAGAATATTTACTCTCAGGGTTGCTGTGACAATTAAGCAAGTTAACAGACAAAAGGGGCTTGGCATAGTTCCTGGCGCACTGTAAGCCCAGATTTAACAAGGCAAGCATGTGGCTGAGCACAAGCCCAGCAGAGGTACAGGCTGCCTCATTTTGGGTTTTAAGCTAGGAATGAGCAACAGTTTTCAGTAAAGTACTGAAGAGTAAATATTTTAGGTTTTGCAGGCCAAGAGGTGAATTTGAAGATGTTATGTAAGTACTTAAATAATAAGCAAACTTTCACAACCTTATTAACTGTATTTGAAATGTGATTAATAACTGAGAACAATTTTCAAAATATATGTCTACCTAATGAGAATAATATGATTCCTTTTTAGGGGAATAACATTTCACTTAAGTAGGGATTGAATGTAAAAACCATTCTTAGCTCAGGGGCCATACAAAAATAGAGAGTAGAATGGATTCGGCCTTCGGTCGTATTCTGCCTGCCCCTATTTTAACACAAGCGTTGGGGGTGGGAAAAGATTCCCAAATATCAGAAAGTCATCTTGATACCCATAGCCTGACTTGTGGGGTGGGGGGAATTATGCTATATGTTCAGGTGCCCCCATTACTAAATGACAGTGCATTACAGAATTAACACGAACAATACATTACAGAATTCACTCTTTTCTCCCTGTCTCAGTTCAAGTTGAACATCAGTTTGCAGCCATCTTTCTGAAAATTTCATTGCCTGCTCAGTCCCACAGACAATGCTCTACTGATAAATGGGGTGCTCGCAATGCTTAAGTACAAATTAGAATCAATTTTAGAAATGGTAGCTCTATATTTCTAGTACTGTCCACCGATGCCAGCTTAAGCCATAGGGGCTCAACTGGCCAGACTCAAGACGTGGTTCCTGAGTATAGCCACTGGGAAGAAGAAATAAAGCACTTTTCAGCTGAAAACGTAAACTCTTCTATTTATGAAATCTCTTTTTTTCTTTGTATAAATTAGAGACAGATTCTCACTCTGTTGACTAGGCTGTGGTGGTACTGCAGCGTTGAACTCCTGGGCTCAAGCAGTCCTCCCCTCTCAGCTTCCTGAGTAGCTAGGACTACAGGCTTGTACCACCATGCCTGCCTAATTAAAACAAAACAAAACAAAACAAAACAAAACAAAAAACTAGTAGACATGAGGTTCTTGGGCTGTATTGCCCAAGCTGGTTTCAAACTTCTGGCCTCAAGCAATCCTCCTGCCCCAGCCTCCCAAAGTGCTGAAATTACAGCTGTGAGCCTATATGCCTGGCTAATAAAATCTTAATACATGTAGATATCATAAAA